AGTATTTCAAAGTAAAATAAACCTCTGAACTAAAAAACCCCTAAATGTTAGTTATTATTCTGTATGTTATGCTAGACACTATGGATTAAAACTGTTACACTCACACTTATCAACTGCAGGCCTTGCATATCCCTCTGGTTTTTATTGTTTGAGGCTTCCCAATGATTTTGTGCCATTTTTTCTCTTTGGGGATCAACTAATTTTCAGGGTCACATAGAGACAAATAGCCATAGTCTGTAATTGGCATTTCTGGAAAAGTATACAGTATGCAGCTGTAGATTGGATAGCACCCTGGTTGAGAAAACGGTGTTCTCTCATGACTGTGTGCATTGACAGTACCCCAAGCATGATTTTATTCTCTTGCTCAGATTCTGACAGTCTCTTATAGTATCTTATCGATTGATTACTGACTTTTCTTCCCTAACCTTGCACACTTGGTCTCTGGAGTGGAACTTTATTGAAGAGGCCTTGATGTGAGAAAAATGGCCATCGGCAGGCCATTTTCCATGAGCACTAAGACAAGTGGCCAAATGGTCAAACACCCAAGTCAAGGACGTAGTCTGCTGCCTTCCCCTCCAGGGTGAGGTTTCCAACTAATCCATCTCATTTGGGGAACCACATGACCATGGGTATTTTGAGCTTGCAAAATCTTGTGCGAAGTTAGCAGTCACTTCCCTGCATCATGACCTGACTTGGAACAAGGCAGCTCTCATAGTCACTTGAGGAAGGAGGGATTTATTTCATTCATTTCTTCTTTCAGCAAGTATTTGTTGAGGGTCAGTAATATGCCAGACACTATTATTACTAGAAATTGATGAATAAACAAAAATTGGATAAAAATGTCTGCCCTCATGGAAATTTTTTTTTGTGTGTGTGTGTATGTAGACAGAAAACTAAAAAACGCAGGACATGGTCTTGCATTTGTGTATCTGTGTATAGGTCTATCAATCAACTGTGTGTCATAGATTTCAGATGGTCATGATGGCTATGGGGAAATTAAAGCAGGAGTTTCTGCTAGAGTATTTGTGTGTGAGAAAAGTTGCCAAAGAAGGCCTCACTGTCAATGTGAAATTTGATCAGAGAACTGAAGGAGGTGCAGGAACAATCTATACAGATATTTGGGGGAACAGCACCTGCTAAGTGGTGGATGAGCAAAGGAGGCAGCCTAGGCTGGAGCAATAGCTTCATGGTAGAGCACTTGCCTAGCGTGTGTGAGGCCCTGAGTTGGATTCTCAGAATCCCAAAGTAGAAGTTAGGGTGATCAGAGCTGAGTGCCTGGAGGAAAGAATAGATAGAGCTGAGGTCTGAATGGTGTTAGGGATCAAATTGTCCAGCACAAATTCTCTTAGCTTGAGGCCTGCTAGATATTACCTTTAAGTGTACTAGTTTACATATGAATATATCACACATTCTGATTTCTTTAATCTTTGTTCACTGTATTTCAATATAATTGGCTTCCTTTTTTAATTTCATAGTGTTTTATTTTAGGCATCTAAAAATGTTACTTTGATAAAGAGTCTGTAAACTTTATCCTTTCTTTGTTTTTTTTTGGTACTGGGAATCGAATGCGTGACTTTGCGCTTGCTAGTCTGGTACTTGAGCCTCTGAGCTGTATCCCCAGCCCGAGTCTGTAAACTTTAATAGTTTCTCTACAATCACAAAGCAGGTAAACAATTCCTAATATTGGACCTTTTAAAAAATTTGTAATTTAAAAATAGAAGATAAATAAGGGCTGAGGGTGCAGTGGGTGAGTGCCGGTACTCCGTGTCAGCCTTTGGGGTTATGTCTGGAATTTGTCACTGATTGGAAAGTACAGCAGGGTCCTGGTTCACCCATTCTGACTTTCTCTTAGCTTACCATTGTTTCTGGGTGCTTTCTGGAACCTTTGCTTCTTGATGTGCCTAGTGTCTTCTAATTTAAGTACAAGACTTGATTCAGCTTTTTTCTTCAGAGTTACTTAATCAGTTCTAAGTTCAAAACTCATTTGATACCAGAGCTTCCTTTGAATGGTTATTTTGAACAGACTTTAAATTTCTCAATTCGCAGGAATTATTTCCACTTGATTTAGATGCAGGCATAATCAAATTTCAACATTCTGATCCAGAGATCTGCCTTTTTGTAAAACTTGGCATAACTGACCATCTGTCTTTATTTGGTAGTCTAGACCATTTAGAAGGTTAACTGGGACTCTTCTAAATGGGCAAGACCGTTTAGTTTTGTTAGCTTGTTTCAAGGATTTTGATAAATCATTTCTGCATCTTGTGGAGGCATATTCTCCCCACATGAAAACCTGGCTTTAGCGGCTGGCCCTCTGGAATCACAACTGGTGCTTCTACTCTGTAAATGTCCAAGTGAGCTGGAGGATGATTCCTGGGCCATTAATATTGTAACTGCTGATAAACTCTTCTTTTTGTCCTCTGAAAGCAGCTGTTTTTTTCTTTGTTTCTTTGTTTGTTTGTTTTTTGAAATTTAAATTATGCAGGGCAATTTCCAGCATTTCTAGTGGCACTGCTCCACTACCCACAGCTCTATGGAGTTGTTTTCTGTTTTTGAAATTACCTTGAGACGGTTCAAATTGTGCAAAGGATCTATGCACAAAGCGACTTTCTCACAATTTGCTCTGGCCGTTTGCAAGAAGTTGAGTGCATCATCTGGCTCTGGAATGGCTTTTAATCTATCAAATCTCACTTGAATTTGAGCAAAACTCTCTTTTTGGCCATATTTATCAGGAGGCAGTGCTCTAATTACTGGACTGTAATGACCAATCAGTTTATTTAAAAGAGCATCATTTAGAGGACACTGTCTCTAGTTTGAGTAAGAAAGTTAACCAGTCCTCTGGGTTGTTCGCCATCATTGTCATTTGGTTAATAGTTCCTGAGTTATCTGTCATTTCAGCAGAGACTTTATTCAGTGAGACTTTACTCAGCAGAGACTCATCAGTGAGATCTGCATTTTTAAATTTTTTAAAAAATCTCTCTCACTTTGTTCATTATGGAACCCATTGTCAATTCTCTGCCACTTGAATCCTCAGCCTCCATTTCTAAGTTTCCACTGGCCTCTGTAGCTGAGTCAAAGAGAAGAAAAATGGAATATTGGGCTTTAACACCGTGACAGGCTTCCAGCTTCTACTCGGAATGAGATAACAAGCTGTGGGTGAGGACTGATGGGTTCGCTCTGTCTGCCATATTGGGTAAACTAAAGAGACAACGACAGCATAAAGAAGACCCATTTGGAGACGATGCCAATAATTCAGGCAGCAGATAGTGGAGGCTTGAACCAGAGTACAATTAGGGAAAGAAAGGGGACGTGGTCACATCCTAGAGAAGTTTTAAAAATAATGCCAACACGATTGGCTGATAGATTGGGTATGAGCTGAGAAATGGAGTCATGAATGACTAGGAGGATTTTGGCCTGAGTTATCTAGAAGCATGGAAATGTCTCTTTCTGAGGTAGGGTACATGCAAGGAAATCATGTGAGAAAGGTGGTGGAGATCAGATACAGCTTTGGAAATATATATGTACTTGTTGTTGTTTTGAGACAGAGTCTTGTTAAGTAGTTCAGGCTGACCTTAAAGTGAGCTCACTATGTAGTCCAGACTAGCCTCAGACTCACAGTGATCCTCCTGCCTCAGTCTCCAAAGTGCTGGCATTACAGGTAGGCACCACCATGCTCAGCTCTAATATCTTATACTTGAATGGCTATGATATGGCTAGGTGGAAATATCATATAGGTGGCTGGAGACAAAAGCCTGGAGTTGTGGAGAGCAGCCTAGACTAGAATTACAACGTTGGGAACCATCAGTCTACACTTGGCATTCAGGCATTATCATCCTGGAAAGTGGTAACTAGAGAGAAGAAATGTGTTTTGATAGCACCCTAATACTTTAGATTTATGAGGGGGAAAATCCATAAAGTAAAGCAGTTTTTAACCCAGATAGTGGTTTAAAAAATGGCTGCATGAAAGCCAAAGGATATTTAAAGTCCTGGAAGCCAAGGGAAGAAAGAGTTTCAACCTGTAGTGATTTTCTGTTCCATATAGCAGCTTGGTCATGTATGATGAGGCCCCAAGGGTTGATCATGGATTTAGTAATTTAGAAGATGTTGGTGACCTAGAAGAGTCATCAGATTGTTGGGTCAAAAGTCTTATTAGAATAGGCTCAGGAAAGATTAAGGAAGAACTGGAGACAACAGGTATAAAAAAGTCTTGTTAGAAAATTTCCTCTAAGAGAAACAGAAAATTTAGATGATTGCTGGAGGGAAGGATGGGGGTAAAAAGTTTTTTTCTTAACATGGGGAAAACGACAGCCTATTTGGATACTGACAGAAATTATTTTTAAAACGAGGAAACATGATGATTCAGGCAAGTTGGAGGCCGTTGTGGAGGCTATATCTTTGGGTTTGATGAGAGGTGGGTGGCATCTAGTGGAAGAACAAAGGGCTTGGCCTCAAACCACCGGGACCTAAAGAGTCACCACAGTAACAGGCAGGCAGGAAAGTAGAGTGCATTGGCAGTGTTTTGAGCAAAGGTGGTGGGAAGGCCTGTAGAAATTCCTTTCTGATTGCTGCTGTCTTCTCAAGAGAAATAAGATTCCTGGTTACCAGCTATAAGTGAGAATGGATTGGGGGAGGGTTGAACATTTGAGAAGGGAGAAAGAGGTGTCTCATGTAGGTGCAGATGGGACAGAAAAATGCAGCAGGGTTGCTGGAAAATATTCAGGACCTGGTTTGGATGAGTGGCCAAGCATTTAAAATGAATCTATCTAGAAAGTTGTATTTTCCTCCAGTTAAATTCAACCCTCTGGGTAAAGGCTCAAAGTAGGTAGAGAGTGAGATTCCCCTACAGACTGGGTTTTACCAAATGAGAAGAGGAAAGGAGGACAGAATGGAAGTGCTAAGAGTGCACCTGAGGAAAAGACTCACTGTAGAACTTAAGGTTAGTAAAGTAATGAGGCCACAAAAGTGTTGTGAACAGCAAAAGTGAGGTTGAATCAATGCTTTCTAGGTCCTGATGCAATGGAAGAATTTTCAGTCAAGATCCACTCAAGCCTCTAGAAGAAGAGAGCCAGCAGGGTAAGAAATTGAGTTTAAACATGGGATGATTTAGAGATTGTGGAAAGGACTTGGCTCTTTGTCAGAACTAGGTATAAAGCATGGCCACAGGAAGAGAGGCCAAAGAAGGGCGAAGAGCAAGATCATTGGCGAGAAGGCAGTCAAGGGCTCCAGAGCCAGCCTCTTGGAGGATCACTGATTTGGACAGTGAAATCACTGAGAACTAGGTCAGGAGTAATACTGAAGAGAGAGATAATAATTCATCCTGGAGATCAAGCAAGAAATGGGAGTGTGGTGGCTGTGAGTCTTTAGATGTCTGTAGCAAAAGGAAGAGTATAAGCCATAGTCTAACAGGTAACTGGGGGCGGGAGTGAGATACTCTTTCTACTATGGCCAAGACCATGACACTTATCTTCTTAACATACTCTCCTCAGCTCTGTCCCTGGGAGCTTCCTTCATCAAGAAAGTGGATTAGAGAAAACACATAGTAACCCTTGTCTTGTTTTTTTCTTCAAGCAGAGTTTATTTATTTATGAGGTGCTAATTTGGTAGTTCAGCTACTTTTTCATTATTCTTTAGGGTGGTGGGTGCTTTTGTGAATACTGATGAAGGCAGACTCAATTCTCATCCACAAATCCTTATGCTAGACATCAAGCTAACGATGGCTGTTTGACACCAGTCTGTCCGGTGAAATAGAAGCAGAAGTAATCAGAATGAGGTTTCTGAGAAAGTTTTTCCTTTCCTGAGAAAAAGAGACAGACTCAGTAGTCATTTCCCTTTAACTCTTTGCCCTTCCTTTTTTTTTTCCTTTTACAAAGCAGATGGGCAGCCTCAGGGCACAACCATCACCTTGAAATCGTGAAGACAAGAATGAGACAAGTATCCCTACATGTTAAAGGCGGCAGAAGAGAAAGATAGGAAATCTGGCCCTGGAATAGCATTGTTGAGCCACTACCCCAGCCCTCAGTTTCTAACTCTGGAATTATTGGCATGTGGAGCCAGTAAAGTCCTCTTCCTTGAAGCCAGCACATTAGTTGGGTTTTCTATTGTTTTTAACTTGCTGTATCCCTAACTCATAAAGCTCCTGTACAGTGAAGATAGAAATTCTAGTCCTTTGGGTTTAAAAGGGGATTTTGGAGACTTATTTGTGAGCAACCAAGTTATTTTTATCCAGCTGCCAACTAAAAATGTTTGATTGCTCCTCTTTTTCAAGTTACTGTCTTTTCCTTATTCTTCTCTTTATGAACAGATTACCCTTTTTTGTAAAATGGCTTTATTGAGATATAATAGATATACAAAGAACTGCACCCATTTCATGTGCATAATTTGATGAGTTAGAACATACGCAAACACCTGTGTTGCCATCACCACGAAGTGAGGGTCATGTCAGCCCCTCCCAAAGGTTTCCTCGGATTACTTGGTCTTCTTTCCCCACTGTGGCAAGAACACTTAACATGAGGTCTACCTTCTTAACAAAGTTTGCAATGCACGGTGTAGTAGTGCTAACTATAAGCATTATGTTGCACAGATGATCTCTAGAACTTACTAGTTTAGTTGAAACCTTTATGAACATTGAATAACAATATCCTTCATGTTCCACAGCCCAGCTCCTGGCAACCACTATTGCATTCCCCTCCTCAACAACTTTGACCATAATAGAATTTTCACATAAGTAGAACCTTGCAGTATTTTTCCTATAGTGACTGGCTTATTTTACTTAGTATAGCATCCACCAAATTCATCCATATTGTAAATGGCGAAGCTTCCTTCTCTTTGAAGGCTAATATTCTGTGTCTGGATAGACCATATTTTTTATCCAGTCATCTGTTAATGGACAGTAGGGTTGTTTCTATATATTGACCACCATAAACTCAGCAATGGACAAGGGAATGCAGATATCACTGAGGTCTTGATTTCAGTTCTCTCTCTTGGGATTGCTGGTAGTTCTATATTTAATCTTTTTGAGAAACTACCATACTGTTTTTCCATAGCTGTTGCACTATTTTATATTCCCACCAACAGCATCCTCACCACCAATATTCTTTTCCACAGCTTTACCAACACTTGTTTTCTTGTTTTGATCACAGCCATCCTAACAGGTGTAAAATGACATATCTCTGTAGTTTTTGTTTCCCTGATACTTAATGATGTTGAAGATCTTTTCATATACCTGTTAGCTATCTGTATATCCTCTAAGTCCTTTGCCCACTTTTAAATAATGTAATTTGGGTATGTTCTATTTGTTTTACAACTGAGTTGTGGGAGTTTCTTCATATGTCAGAAATTAACCCTCTATCAGATATACACTTTGAAAATATTCTCTCCCACTACACGGTAATCTTTCTATTGTGTTTCATTCTTCCTTTGATGTACAGAAGCTCTTTAGTTTGATGTGCTCCCATTTGTCTCTTTTTGCTTTTGTTGGCGGGTTTCTTGAAGAAGCGTGCCTGTGTGTGCTTTTTTCTACTCCTTTACCTTCTCCTTATACCAGGCCGTTGGAGCTCACTCTTGGATGACTTTCATAGAAACCATCATGCTGATGCTTCCTGAGTACCGTGCTGCATCTCTTAGGCTGCTCTTCTCTCTGAAACTTTTACAGGGATGATTTGATCAGCTCTTTCCTCCTTTTCTTCCTTCATGGCCTTTTTCTTAAATCTCAATCTCTGCATTATTTTCTGATCCTTTCATAACTCTTGCTGTCTGCCTACCTCTTGCTGTCTCTGCCTCAGTATGCTCCTAGCAATCTTTTTCCTTTGTTTCTCCTCTTGTCTTCTTTGCTTTTGTTACATTTTCCTTGGGAAAATCATGTGTTCCTAAGTCTCTGTTTACTCCCAAGAGATCAATGGTTTATAAATTTATGTTTTCAATCCTAGCTTTTCATTGAAGTGTTAGAGTCCCATTTCTAATTGCTTCTGAAACACCTTACCTCAAACATTATGCTGTCCAAACTGGATTTTATCACCTTTTCCAGAAACCCTACCTGGTTTTTCTTATTTTGTTTCTCCTCTTACCACCATTTGTCCAAGTGCCCATGTGAGGAACTTTGAATATAACTTTAACTCTGTTTACTCTTTTCCCCTTTTTTCATTGGTGAACAGCCCTATTAACTGTGCTTTGGAAGTATTTTTCAAACACTTTTTTCTTCTGTGTTCTCATCACCTTTGTCTGTTTTCCTGTAACTCACTTCCAGTGGAAAAACTTTTGCTCATTAGGGTTGGGTCCTTGCAAAGAGCTATCCTCTAATTTTATAAAAGCTACCAGTTCTATTTCTGACTTGATCTACTAAGACAAAAGACCTGTGATCAATGGCAGCACAGAGCAGGTTCTAGTCTTTGCTAGTTAAGGCCCTTTCTAGCTTAGGACCATTCAATTTTTGTCAAGAGCTCATTCCAGCAAAGAAATTTAACACTGTACTAAACCAGATCTTCAGAGAGCCAGCTAAAAGGAGATGTTGGAGGGTGTTGTTCATGACTTCACAGAGCTCTTCCTTCACCCAGGAGAAGTTCCTGTCCCAAGTTAATACCAAGAAGAATGAGTTATAGTTCTCTTGGGCAATCACAAGCCAATATGCAGAACATTCATTTTTAGCTGTACATATGTGGCTGCATTTTAAATGGAGTCTTCTTGACCTTTCTTGCCTATAAGCCTAGGGTTTTTTTGTTCTATTTAGATGGAAATTGTGACTGAGCAAAATGCAGCTCTACGAGCAGTCCTGATGTCACTAGATGACACCAGGTAATGCTGGATGCCAACAGTTCACACAGCCAGCTGCTGGTCATTGCTGATGCTGGGCAGTAGCATCTGATGCTGGATGCTGGGAGCTGGGTCACTGTTACTGCTGCTGCTCACTGTTACCATCCAAGGCCATCTTGTGCTGGACACCATAGGTTGACTCTAACAGGTGCTGGTCTCTGCCTTCTGGTGTCAGCTTGCACTGTAGGTCAACTCTAGTGGGTGCTGGTCTCTGTTGGCTGCTGGTCTCTAGAGTTCTTTGATGTTAACAATTCTGAGTGTTTGTTTGTCTTTGGAAACTGACCATTCTGTCTACACTACCCACACGAGCAGGTTTACAGCAACAGAAAAGTGAATCTTTATTTTAACAGGGCCTGTGTTACAGCACAGCAGGGCTGGAAAAATGCTACTTATGTGGAAACTTGCAGGCCTGTTTCAGTGAGGGTGAGGACTGAAACCAGGAATATTCTAGAAAGTTTGTGTGAATGTTAGGTATGCAAATAAGGGGTCCAGATCCCTCCCTTCATGATCTTAGCCTCTCCAGGCTGCCTGTTTCTTTCTTCAAAGATACAACAGTGTCATCTGAAGTGGTGGGAGTGGGGAGGGGCACCATGCTGCCTACTTGGCTGCACTCATGTTGGAGTGGAAAATGGTGGTTTGATAGCCAGGGAGGACATGCTAGATAGGCAGGGAGGACACTGCAGTAAACTGTCCAGTCCATTGGTGCAAGGGGGAACCAAGGGAAGCAAGAGGAGAGGCAGACAATCAATGGTGAAGCCACACCCCCTCTAGTCAGCAGGGAAAAATTAGAGTCAGGCACTACTAGTCTGTCTCAGCTGCATTTTAAGTGAAGGCTTGTTGGCCCTTACTTTCCATTCATCTTTGATTTTACACTTATTTTACACCTTTTTATATTTTATGTGTCCTTGGATGCTGCCTTCAATTTTTTTTCTGGAACAAGATGGAAAACAAAACAAAAATAAATAAATAAATGAATAAATAATAAATAAATGTATAAATGATTTAGGCCCTGTTTTTTCTTTCCTTGGCTATTACAACACTGGCCTTCCTTTCCCACTTGCTACATATCCTTCATTTACTGATCATGTCATTCTTTTCCTTAAAAGCATTTGGTAGCGCCCTCCTTGCTCTTTATCATGTTATGTAAGGTCCTTCACAATGTTGTGACTGTCCTTTAACCTTTGCCCCCACCACTTCCTGTACCATCCTTTCCAGCCATGTCAAGCCACTCGTCACATCATTTCTCTTGGAAGTGTTTTGTGTTTTCA